ATTTGTTAAATTCAAATGGTGGCACTTCATATGGATATTTAATTTTGTCTATTTGATATATTTTTGGCAAACAATCACCGTTCTTCAGTGTTTCGTAAAAATAAAAGCTTTTTGAGGGTGCATGTTTTAGGTTTTAACGATTGTTTTAAAATATTTACGTCTTGTTACAAAATTCAACTTTGGTTTTTTAAGCCTTAGGAGGTTGAACCACACATACAGTATATTATGTGAAGCGGGTGCTCGCCCGCGTGTGGTTCATACATGAACAAACAGCCGCTTCACACACTGAGCGACGAAATTAATAGGAACATATACCAGCGGTGGAGCCCGACAGTGCGGCCATAGAAGTCCGGGAATATTCCACTACTGCCGCATTGTTTCGCAGTGCCGCTTCGCTGTACGCCACCGGCTCCGGTTTATTGTCTTTCACTTTCGTTGATAAAGACATATTGAAGATTTAAGTCTGTAATAATAAATCGTAAATCTTCTGACTAAAGAACAAAAACACGTCGTGAGCAAGACGAATGTTTCTGACAGTGGCATATGATTTTTTTTTTTTTTAATTTATTGCTGGCCATGGAAACAAAGTCCTTCAGCCGAAAACATAAACGTTTAATTATATTTCTGTAAATATGGCCACCACAAAGAGGATAGGCAATTTGAGGCGGCGTGATTGGATTGACTCGGGATTCCTTAGAACGGGCCGATACGGGTATTTTATAGTTCGAGATTCGTATAATTTCGCGTTTTAATCTTCGATTAAGGCACAATAGCACTATCCTATTCCACTTTAAACTAGATTTCACAAAATAATTGAAAGTCAAAATAAAAACGACACTTTTCCCTCCAAAAGGCCCAGAGCGAATCCTGGCATATGATAATGTCACTGTCGGACAATTTTTTTTGGCACTGCTTTTTCCATTGGAAAACGCAAAGGGCACTAATGCGCCATACAGCCAAACACTGTGTTAAGTCGTTTATAAATGCTATATAAGCATGAACGTTCAACAGCAGTACGTGTAATTTACATAGGGGTTATTTGTAGAATAATCACAGGTACTATTGGTTAATTTTCCGTAAAATTTCAAATAGTGGAAATTTTTTCGAAAAAATTCCCAAAAAATTGGAACAATATAATTGGAATGCTCACATTATGTTCTACGTTTAGAAATATCTGGAAGTTTTACTTAGAGTGAATTTTATAATAAACTGGTATATTTACAAGCCGCTTAGTAGAAAAACGGGATCTAAAATGCTTTCACAACAGCGAAAATACCTTCAACAACCATTAGAGGATGGAAAAAAATAGTCTAAGCAACGACCACACCACCACCACCTTGATGTTTGTTGGTTCCTTTTTTTCGTTCAGTAACTCAACTTTTGGCACTAGTCAACGTGAAAGTGGAATAATATTTATTTTTCCGAATAATTGGCTTTGATAAAAATTGAATTATTTCTATGACGTTAATAATCTAGTGTTGCAAGGTTGTTAGTATTTTAAAAATAACTCTGTATAACTTAGACTATGGTTATATTGCAAGAACATGTTGGATTAAAAAAAAAATAAATAAATACAAAATAAATTAGATAGGTAAGAAAAAAGTTAAACATTGAAATCATTGAAACCCATTTTGTAGTGGGCCAACATTATTGAACATTTTCGTCGATTTTGGTCGACAGCAATAATCATTAGCCGACAGCCAGATAATGAATAATGACATTAATCTATCTTAGGATCATTGCATTAACCAAACACTTAACTGCCTCAGTGGCCGAATGGTTACCACGCCGAACTGTCACGCAGAGGAACCAGGTTCGATTCCCGGGCCGGGAGAAATATTTGTATGGCTTAAATTTATTTCTCACTTGAGTTTGGGTGTAATTTTTGTTTGCATAAGTGTGTGTCTATGGCACCCGCGACTCAGGGTTTCCCTAGTGCGGAGCTATGTTGAGTGTGTGCGTTATTATTAAAAAAAACAAGGGATGTAATGATGGTTATTAACCATTAACTTGTTTTAAATGTGGGTACGATACATTGCCATTATATACGGCATAGGTGATCTACTACTTGCCATATGTGAGTGGTTTTCTTGTCATGATTCAAGGACTCCCAGTGTTAAAATATATTAGTCTGATATATCGAGGATAAAACCATCGATGGTCAATTATTATGATGTCCCAATGGTCTTGTTTGGTAATGAAGGTGGCGCTTTATATATTGTGTTGAATTTGACAGATCTTTGGCAGAACTTTAGTTTTGGAAAAATTACTTTGACTTTATTATTCAGTTCAAAATTATTTTTTAATTTTTGAACTTACCTAAATAATTTTTTTAAACTAATTTTTATTACCCTAGTTTAGAAACCTTTCTTCCGAAAAAAACGTTGCGTTCAAAAATGACATTGTCGATAAAACAGTCCGAGATAACATGCCATTGAACTTTCGTTGTGTGAATGTGCTTTTGTGTGCGTGTTTTATAATAAAAATCGTCTCTTTCTCACTCACACATCAATGTGTGTTCCATGTTGGTTTTCGCGGCACCAAGCGTCGTTGAACTTAATTTTGTTTTGAATTTCACTAAATATGTGAAAATACTATGTTTTTAATGGTTTCATGAAGAGTTTGGTTATGATAACGTCTGAATAAACTTAATTATTCCCAACTGTGCATGTGTTCTAATAACTTCCGAGACGATGAAAATATAATGGCGTGTGTGTGACTATGTACCTGGGTTCTTTCTCGTAATAAAATAGGACATATCACGACGAATATTCTGTCGCTGGGGCATTTGTTTATTATTTCTGTTACTAAATCACAAGTGCTTCATCGAAGTGGTGTTAAAATACTTATAAACGATTTATGTGCTGTGTATTAAAGAAAACCAAGTTTTCGAATTTGTGTGGTAGATTGAGAAGCAAAAAGAATGCCTGCCTTGCGAGCTCCCCGAGTGTAAATTATGCTTATTGAGACAGTGAATCGGCACAATACATTGGTGAGTTGTTACATATATTTTTTATTAATTAAACGCATTATTCGCTGTTGTTTCAAATGAGTTTTTGACTAAAAATTGTATAACCTAAATGTGCTTTGGGCTTGAACTTCATTTGAATTCTTTTGTTTCAGATTTGATTCGTATGGGCTGAATGACGACCGTGTTCTATTTATAGCACTTTGGGGTCACATATCTCATTTTATTATCCCGAAAATCGCATGATGTTGTTGTAAACATTATATTAAACGTCGATGTATGGCGCGATCTTCTTACAGTTACGTCAGCGACTTAAATGAACATTAAATCGGTTTGTTTCGCGTGAAGATGGAGGAGTCTGACGACGCCATGAGTTCAGATGATCTGAAGAATATTTTTGGAACGGTTACTGGGAAGGTAAAACCTAAGAAACGTTCCTTAGTTGAACGTGAACTGGAAACCAGTCTCACTGAACACTTCACATCTCCTATAAGTTACGGTGGTGCATTTAGTAAGAGTCGATATGGTCGGGCCCGTAGGTTCAAGACAGATACTAATTACTATGATACAGAAAAGGCCGTGACTGAGGTATTAAAGTCTCCAAATATGGAAAAGACTCCCAGCAAGTCCCATCCTCCAGCGTATAAAATGCATGCTTCCAACTCCCCTGTTACGGAATCAACTAAAAGAATATCTGTTGAAGGTAATTTAGAAAATCAAATTGAAAACATTTATAATACGAATATAGCACTCAGCCGCTTTGGTTCAGAAGAGAAAAAAAATTCGCCATCTCCAGCCAAGAAATTTCCTAAGGTATATATAAGAAAAGATTTGATACAAACAAAAGAGAAAGAGGAAACCGTTACACTTATTAAAAATTTATTTTCACCAGTAAAAAATTCATATAAACAATCAAATTCACATTTAAGTAATATTTTGGAGAGGTCATCTGAAAAATATAATCTGAATGGGAGCGTTGCTGCAAAACAGAATGGGTACTATGACAATGCATCTGTGGTAAAAATGCTAGATTTTGATGATAATAAGAGAAAGAAGAAAGAAAACAAGGAATTAAGCAGACCGGTACTATCAAAGAGTGAACAATTTGAATTGGAAGCAAAATGCTTGTTCCAAGTTGGAGACTTGGCCTGGGCTCGAATGGGGACTTACCCATTTTGGCCATGTATTGTCACAAGAGAACCTTTGAGTGACATGTTTGTGAGAAAAAAGTGTGAGTATAAACAAACGTTTAACGTAAACATTTTTATGAAAAATTTGAAATTTATTTCTATTTTCTTTTTTGTTTAAGAAATTTCATATATATATAAAAATTAAAATTTATTATGAGATATATATGGTTGCAAGAATCCCCTGAGCTTATTTTAATTAATGTTATACGTGACTGGCAACCAAGATTTGACGCCTTTGTACCTTCTTAGCTAGAATACGTAGAAGCAATTGGAGCTAAGCCTTTGTGGCTGGCGGTGATCACAATAGACCAAATGCTGATGACAGATCAAGGGCTGTAGAGGTGTTCATAAATCACCTTCTAGGTTGTAATAATAACTGTGCTATCTTATAAACCACAAAAAAGAAAACTAATAAATTCACAGAAAATAATGACTTTATTAAGAAACAACATGCTGCTGCTATTTATTTGAAAAACTTATTAAGTATTAAATGTTGTGTTTCCATTGACTTACAAATAAATGGACGACGGGTCTACAAGTCAACCTATTTAAACGTAGTGACATGTAAAGGAATATGAAAAAGCTAAAACGTTGAATTTAAATTGTAATGTCATCGCAGTACTGTCTAATTTTGCTTGCTTCGCTGTCAGTCGAACAAACGAAGACTAAAGCGTGAATGACGCTCTGTATACGATTTTAACGCCCTATAAGTTCGGACACTTTTTAGCGCGGACCCGACGTCCATATAATTGTAAGTCAATGTTTGTTTCTTCATCCTTTCAAATGCAGAATGTTTTATTGTAATTATTAGACATTTTGAGAAGAAAGACCAGGTTATGTAACACAGTATATTAACTAGCACACTATTTTCACCTTAATGTAATTTAAAGCACATATTTTTTGTTTTATTATCAATGTTATCAATAAATTATGGTTTGTCTCAATATTTGCTCTCTGGAATATTAGGTTTTTTTTAATAAATAAATTTTAAATAAATTTTTATAATTAAAATTTTAACTTAAATATAGCTTACAAATAACTTTAACCAAAATAGTTCCACTATGACGAAAAATTGTTCAAGTCTACACATATACATGTAGAATCAGAATCACATGCATATAATATGTTTAGAATCAAGAGATAAAATTAATGAATATTAACAATCTTTTAACTATATTTCAGTATTTGGGCGCATGGAGCGAGATGTAGTACACGTGACTTTCTTTGGAGATAATGGTCGACGCAGCTGGATCGTCCATAGCATGTTACGTCCATTTTTGGGACTACAAGAATTTGAGATCACAAGGGACCAGTTTACCCCAAAGGTACAACGATAAAAAAAAAAAAAAAATGTAGATGAAATTTGATTAACTGAAACTACCTTGCACTTCACTATTGCACCTTTTCCTAATAATAACATTTATGATCAGCTGTGGAACATGTGTTGTTACAGTATAATTCAAAGTTGTAAAGAATATATTTATGGAAAGTATATAATTATTTTTCAAACAAGGTGGTTATTTGCTTTACAGGCAAAGAAGAAGGATCCTAGGCTCTATGCAGCTTTCTTTATATCAGATAAGAAGCAGGCTTTATGGAGTATGTCGGTTCATGAAGCGGAATCATTAATGCGTGAACCAAAACGACTAAGAATCGATATCTTTTACGATATGTTAGAAAAATCGAAGACGAAAGTTACTCCAAAGAGCCAGAAAAGTGGAAAAATAACTAGAACGGACAGTGATGTGTCTTTGAGTGAGAGCTTACTTGATACATTATTTTCTGAGGGTGACAGAAAGAATGATGACTTAGATAGATCACGAAATAAGTCCTTAGATGTTTCCGAAGTTGTTACAGCGTGTTTAGACAATATGGCAGCTAAAACTGGTATTACGAAAATTCAAAGACAATCTCATATGGATAGGTGGCTGCAAAAAGCAAAATCAAAGACACCTGAAAAAAATCAATTGAAAGTAACCGTGACTGTTGAAAGAATAGAGAAAGATAAAGATAAATCCAAAGGAAAGGAAAAGGATACTAAAACCAGTGAGTCTAAAAGGAAAAAGAAGTTTTTGTCGAAAGAAAGTACTTGTAACCCAAGTCCATATAGTTTTAGGAAGTCTGTTAGAGAATCTCAAAATTTACTATCTCATCAAAATGAACATGATTACAGTAAATACTCAGAATGCGAGGATGACATATCCCTGAAAGCCATTAATGTAGACGCAATTCAAAGCCCAATTGAACCAGTTCCAAACATTTCTGTCATTGATAAAGTTGAAAGCTTAAACGAAAATGTCAATAAAATTATAGGCAAAGACATCACTGAACGAGAAACGGAAGTGGTAAATAAAGACCAAACTCTTACATCTGAAGTTGAAACCATATCTGATACAGACGAAAATCCATCCAGAGAAGACGAAAACTTAAATGAAGCAATTATTACCGAAAGTAAAGATCAAAACAGGCTTAATAACAAAAAAGTTACAACTGATGAAATAATAAATAGCAATTTAGTTGAATCTGACCAACCTATTAACAAAGATGATGTTAACGTTATGGAAATTGCAGAAATAAATGATAATTTGCCTGCACGATCTGAACAATTTGTTAACAGAGAAACAATCAGGACTGAGGTTACAGAAGACTTAGAATTTTTAGAGCGAGACTTTGAAACTACTATCAAAGGTGACTCTTCAGTAAAACACCTAGAAAATGATTCAGACTCTAAAAAAAGCGACAAAGAAAATACCCAAATCTCAACAAGTCGCTTAGAAACAGCACTACTTAAAGAGACTTTGTTGTCTGACATATCTTCTGAAGACATGGATGTGGACAAAACTATCCATGAAAATGTAGTTGACGGTGAAACCAATGAATACGAACATTTAGACATGTTGTATGATAATTTAGAAAACAGCAATGATGTAATTAAGAAAAGTTGTGTAAAAGTAAAAAATCAGGAAATTGTTCATAAATCAAATGAAGCAACTAGTGTGAATGTGAATGAAGGCGATCAAAATTACACTTGTGCTGTTTCTGATTCAGTGAATGACCTAATTCCCAAGACCAATGATAAGGATTTCGTAACCCAAGTAATAGAAAAAAATGAAGTATACTCAAAAACAATTAACGAACACACTATTTCAACAATTAGTTCTAAAGATTTGCCACAAGAACGCACAAAAACTAAGACTGCAAATAGTATGGCTGAAATCATATCACTTGACGAAGACTCGATAGATTGTGAAAGCTCAAATGTTTGCATTATTACTGATGTCAAAGAGGAAATGACATTTTTAACAGATGTAAACAAACAAATTCATTTAACACCTGTAAAAAAAACAACCAAAGATGAAATGTCAACAGATGATGATATCACAGATTGTGAGAGCATTATCACTTACTGTAGTGACACCAATATAAATACGAAAAATGGAACTGTAGAACTTGATAAAGTGGAAGAACAAAATAATCTTTGTGACTTTGATGTAAAGACGGTAAAAGATTGCATTGCAGGTTGTGATGTTAAAAACGCAGTTGTTACAGACAATGGAACCGTATCTATTGAGAAAACCATCTTACATGAAGGTCTTACTAGTGACAGTCATGGGCAGGTCCAAGTAGAAAGTACAGTGAAAAATAATAACGTAAACTGCGTACCATTCGATGTAGAAAATAGTGGTAAAGGTGTTAAAGAAGGCACAGAAATCGAAGAAAATTCTTATGACGATGATTATTCGGACGATGAGGACGATATTGAACAGCCAGCATATTCCCCACATTATCCTCAGTCTGAAGAAAAAGTTAATCTAATAACAGAAAGCCTTGAAATTGTTTCGCAAAAAAATTTGGACAGAGAAACCGTTTTGCTGAATCCAACAAAAATTGACACATCCACAAATCAAATACTACCGCATATAGCAAACGTTACATCTACAAGTACGCAAGCAGTTAAAAAAGTTAAAGATTTCAATGAAATGAAGACTGAACTTGGATCAGATAATGATTCTATGAGTTCTGAATTAGATAATGTAGCTCTAAGTGAATTAAGAAGGGCATTTAAAAACAAAACTTTACAGAATGGTAGCACGAAGCTTTCCAAAGGAGCTATGGGTTCAAAAGCTTCTCATTCTGATACAGAACTCTTTCCTAAACGCGAATTACGGTCAAGAATATCAAAGTCTCCTACAAGTTCTATCAAGGAAAATGGATTTCATAGCAGCAAAGACACTAGTCCTGAACGAGTAGCGAAACAGGAGTGTGATACCATATCCATTATTTCTATTAACTCTGAAGATAGCAACACTTCAGTAAGTAAACGTAAAGTAGGTAAAGAAAGACAGGCTAGTGCCGATAATATGCAGAATCCAGAATTCTTGAAATATTTGGAGCTAAGACAAGACAGTTTGATAGATGAACATCCTGAATTAACTTATGAAGAGCTAGTTGCATATTTGTACAAGACATGGCAGTATGAAGACAGCAAAAAATCTGATCTAATGAAAACTGAAGACATGGAATCATCACATTTGGTTAAAGGTGTTATTGTTAATCAGGAATTAAGTCAACCGAAGAAGAAAAAGATGATGAAGCAAAGGAAGATAGTTGACATTGTCAAAGTCATGGGCAACGAGGATTTCAAGCCCAGAGAAAGACGAAAGATGATCGAACCATTGTATAAAGAAGATTTTTCAGATTTAGAAGATGAAATAGAGATGTTTGAGATTTTCAAACCTAAGAACAAAATAAAAGTGGAAAATCTGAAAAGTGAACCGTCTAAAGCGGCTACTGAAAATGTACCAAAAGCTATAGAAAAAACTGAAGACAATAAGGAGACAACTGCAGAAATTAAACGTGATGTATTAATTGATGATATCAAGGACGAATATTACGATGAAGAAGAAGCTTATTTCGAACAATTAACTAAACCAAAGCCTAATGTATTCAAAGGTATGGTTCGAGAAAAGGTGTGCGAAATCTGTGAAAATACTAGCAATCTTATCAAGTGTAAGGGTTGTCAGGGTATGTTTCACATTGACTGTGTTAACAAAAAGTCAGAGGATGAAGATATTCCCATGCAATCCACAAGAGGTAGAAAGAAAAATAAGAAAAAAAGGGGTAGGAAACCTAAAGTATCAATTGATTCTAATGGAGTTGACTCTGGCAGTCAAAGCGACGAGAAATCTCATGACTATAATATTTCAGAGGAGCTCAATGCGTCTGTTGAAAACGTCAAAGCACCTATACTTGAACCTTTAGTCGTAGATGCAGATAACTTGGAAGCTCAATTGGAAGCTAAAATGAAAGAACTTGTTGATTCGGCCAATATTGAATATGAGTCTTATTCAAGCGACGATGGAATAGATTGGGATAAAGCTGTTGCTGGCCAATGTGAAATAGTCGAGATAAAAGTTAAATCTAAACCAGTGAATCTTGAAGTTGACTATTCAGATTTTAAGTGCAAAAATTGTTTAGACCATGAGGTGCCCATTTGTTTAGTATGCAAATCAGCTGTTTCGCCCAAAGATAAAAGTGTCAGAAGACAGAAGTGTCAAGTAGCACATTGTCAGAAATACTATCATATTTCTTGTTTAGATCAGTGGCCTCAGACCCAGTTTAATTCAGGTGAACCTTCAAGGAGTAATAAGAAGATAAATGAGCACTTTGAAGCTTTGACATGTCCAAGACACGTCTGCCATACTTGTGTTTGTGATGACCCCAGAGGTTGCAAGACGCGGTTCAGCAGTGACAAGCTTGCCAGATGCGTGCGATGTCCAGCAACTTATCATTCATTTACTAAATGCCTTCCAGCTGGTACGAAAATTCTGACGGCGTCACATATTATCTGTCCAAGACATTATGAACATAGGTGAGAATTTTACTTTTTTTAATATTATCTAACAGGCACGTCATGAACATCGCAAGTGGAGATAGGTACATTGATAAATAGATAAACATAATATATGAATAGATATAGATGGAGATAAAAAATATACACGTTTTGTCATAGCAGTGAAATGACGCTGACTCAGCATATGTTTGTTCCTTAATGCGCTGGTTTCTAGACAGGCTAAAGTTGAAGTAAGGTGAAATGATGAGTAAATTCATTGAAGTAATACACAACAAAAATGTGAATGTCCGATATCTGTCCAAAACAATTACTGTCAAATAGTAATCCATGATGCGAATGAAGCTTCATACTTGAGATTGACTTTGATTTATTACTTATTTGACTGTAATTATTTTGGATAGATATCGGATGGTGAACGGGAGTAGACAACCCGTTTGGAAGATAAGTGTCATATTGATTAGTACATATGGAATTTTTTGTGGAGTGCAATTTTGTTATTTAGTTATAAAGTATTTAGCAGCAGTAGAACTCCTCCAAAGTTCGTCCAGAGACGTCATCGAGTATATAACCAGAAATAGAGACGAAATGTCCTTTAATTTGTTTGAAAACTATTCAGCCAAATCATTCCAGTGACAACTGCGTTCCGATTGGCCAGCCCAAATTGGAAACAATTGACGGGTGTCGTCAATTGTTTTACTTCAAATCGACCACTAACTTGATCTTATTAGAGGTATTACCTTTATTACAATAAATACACAATGGAATATACGGAGACGTACACACAGGTCAGTTATTAGCGCTGTACTACTTCAGTTTTCTAATTTGTGGTTTCAGTGCAAACGAGAATTGATATTTAAAAGCCCTTATTTTGTCTCTATTTCTGGTTATACACTCAATGAGGTAAGTACTGCCACTTTACCTATTTCTGCCGCCAAGCAGTAATGTTAGTATTACTGCGTTCCGGTTTTGACGGGTAAGGGTGCTGGTGAAATTACAGGCACATGAGACTCAGGGTGACGGGCGCGGTGACAGTGCTCCTCAGATCTTTGCGATTTAAAGCCCTGAGTGGCACTGCAACTGATATGGACAGACGTGTTGTTTACCATCAGGCGCACGACTTGTTCGTCCCGTCACTTGATATTGTAAAAAAAAGTTAGGGGGTGATTCTAACCATACATTATGAAAATTATTTTCAACAATTTCAAGAACAACCGGTATTTATGTATAATGATTAGTGTTGCAATGAATAGTATTTCGCCTTCAGGCCGAATACCGAATATTCGGCCCGGAGCGAGGCCGAATAGCCGAATATTCGGCCAAACTATTCGGCCTGATTAATGATCTTACAAAAATCGCAGGCGCGCAAACCGCATTATATCAAAGATAGCTATACTTACATATATATAAGTTAATTTACATTAAACCAGTAATGATGCATGATTTTCTAAAAAGAAACAAAAAAGGAAATTTTATTTTCAAGTTTATAATTCAAATTTATGACATCTTAATGAAGAAAGTAATTGTTTAATAATTAATATTCGGTTAATCTTAACTTCTTTGCTTCCCACGAGACAGGCGTAGCCTAGTGTGGGGATCATAGTTCAAATATGTGTTTGTTAATTGTAAGTTACGGTAAATAAATTTATTATTATTATTATTGTTATTTCTGTTAACAATGTCAAGTAAAAAAAGAAACTCTAGTCATACCAAAAAAAGAAGAAAAAGAAGTATATAAATAAAATTTTTTTGTTTTATTTAATCATGATTTCACGACAAAATTACATAATAAGTAGGTAGTATTCATTTGATTTGTTACCTTTTTTTGATCTCATAGAAGTTAGTATTTGTGATCATTTACTGTATTTTATTATTTCTTCCTCCCGTTTTTAGGTATTCGGCCGTATAACAAAAAGTAGGCCGAATAAGCCGAATACCGAATAGTAACCGAATATTCGTTGCAACTCTAATAATGATTCTATTGATGTATGAAAACGGTAAAAATACTAAAAGAAATACTTCCTTTCCAGACCCGGCAAGGTTCCCTGCCATGTAAATACCGGATGGTGCTTCATATGCGCTCTTGGGGGTACATTGATTTGTTGCGAATATTGTCCCACATCTTTCCATGCTGATTGTCTGAACATTGAGCCCCCAGAAGGCGGATATATGTGTGAGGACTGTGAGACTGGACGGTTGCCTCTTTATGGAGAAATGGTGTGGGTCAAATTAGGACATTATCGGTAAGTTTTGGTTTATCTTAGTAGATGATATACAGTGTACTCATTTGTGAGGCAGATTTCCTTGACATGAATTATGAAGAAACTCCTGGGGTCGCTTATAAATGATCGATTGGATTATTGATTTTATAAACAACTTCATTACCTTATTGCTGTTTGTTTTACAGATGGTGGCCAGGAATTATTCTGCATCCGTCTGAGATCCCGGACAACATAATGGCTGTAAAGCATTCCCATGGAGAATTCGTCGTACGATTCTTCGGACAATATGACCACTATTGGGTGAATAGAGGCCGCGTGTTTCCTTTTCAAGAAGGTAAGTGACATTTTTTACGGATTCCTTCCTACCCCATCGAGTATATAACCAGAAATAGAGACGAAATGTCATTTAATTTCTTTGGAAAGTATTCTGCCAATTATTACAATAAATACACAATGTTTTTGGGCTATACGAAGACGTACACACACGTCAGTTCTTGGTGCTGTACTATTTCAGCTTTCTAATTTGTGATTTTAGCGCAAACGGGAGTTCATATTTTAAAAGTGATATAAAGCCCATTTGGCAGATGAGTTGCCAGGGATGGATGGCCCTACGTCTCTATTTCTGGTTATATATTCGATGTTTTACCGCCTTGTCTTGTCTTTTGCGCGAGTTTACTTCAGTTAACTGTTACGGCTATTCATCGAGTATATAACCAGAAATAGAGACGAAATAAAGGCCATATATTCCTGTTAACACATTAGCGATACAGCTCTTATAAATATCAACTCTCGTTTGCACTGAAATATAGACAGGCCAACTACCTGTATGTGCGTCTCCTTATATTCCAAGAAATATTCTGTTTTTATTGTAATAAAGATATCTCTAACAATGCCGTGTTGTTCTTTTCCGTGGTGTGGGAAAAACAGCAAAACATTTAATTACAAAACAAACGGAATCACATTTCATCGGTAATTAAATATTAAATATGTAATTTTTCAATTTACGTCCATTATAGCATAGCTCAAGTTAAACTGGTCGATTTGTAGTGAAACAATTGACAACACCCATCAATTGTTTCAAATCATTTATGCGTCTTGCTTCCACCTAATGCAACTCCCATTACGTCATCTCATTCTATTCATTGGGCAGGCGTTGCTAGTGTTGCACTGAAAAAATCATATTATGTATCGATATTTGCTAGTATAATTTATTACTGTATAATGATTTATTTATACAATCGGTAAAGTAAAAAAAATCTACGTCAGACGTCGTCGTAGTTAAGTATGGACGCATGAGTATAATGTATCGATTTTATAAGTATGTCAGATTATGCACAAGAAACACTAACTATTACGTGTTAGATTGTCGTTCGTTTTTATTGCTCAGGAAAATTGTTTTTGTTTGAGAGTATATTTATATATTTAACTTCTTATGGCTGTGTGGTGTTGGCCTATTATAATACCACCCCATATCTCAACTAACATACTGCGATCACCTATTCAACTTGCAAGTGTGGTGGTTGTGCCAAGTCCCCGAGGAGTCCAGACTGTTTATGGGTTTTGGGGAGACCCATGGACAGTTAGTGTTGTGTACTGTCAGTGGTTTTGTTTAAAATACGCGGATACCGAAAAAACTTAGTACTTTTGTATTGTTTTTGAACATTTCCATAAGCGATAGGTTTTGCGATTTAAAGCTCTGAGTGGCAGTGCCACTGTTATGCCCTATAGACTGTATATGACATTTCGAATACAGTATGGTATTCATTCACATGAGCGTGTGTTAAAGATAGGTAGTAGTAGTAGTGGGGTGCATGAAAGGAGACTCCCCGCACGACATGCCCTTCCTCTCCTGCACATTTGGCACAACCAGGGCAACAATAGGCAAATTTTGGTAAAACCTTTCACCATAATACATTACAGTCATTTCAGTGTATTCCATGGAAGATATATATAATTCTCTTCTGTTGTGTTAAAAGTCGCACTTAGTGTAGTGATTCTTAAGTAGTTTTGGTAGCAGTAGAGCTCCTTGTGAAGGTGTTCGTCCAGGGTAGTACTGCCACCTTACCTATTTCTGCCGCCAAGCAGTAAGGTCAGCATTAGTGTGTTCCGGTTTTAAAGGGTAAGCGTGCTGGTGGAATTACAAGCACATGGGACTTATGAACTTATGTCTCAGGGTGTCGGGAGCAGTGGCAGTGCCCCTCAAATATTTGCAAATTAAAGCTCTGAGTGGCACTGCAGCAGTTATGGACAGGCGTGTAGCTTTCCATCAGGCGCACAATTGTTCGTCCCGTCACTACATATTATAAAAAAAAAAGCTTAACTTCGTTCGCGGTGTGGCCTGCGCTTAATGATTACAATAGATAGAATACGCAAAAAAAATCCAGATTCAAAGTAGATTTGTTGTAGCCACAGTGAACAATGACACTGCCCCTTTTTACAGGAGGAGGCAGGACGTATCATATTTTGCATGCGGTATATTTAAAGCAACCTGAAACCCCTAACGGCAGCCAATGACTTTTTAACCTTGAAATCCAAATAATACAGGTCGTAGTCTCTTTTATTACCACTTTTATTGTACACTCTTTTCAGGTGACTCCGGCAGAATATCCAGCCAGAAATCTAAGATCGACGAAGCTTTTACCAAAGCAATGGAGCATGCGCAAAGAGCCTTCGAGATACTGAAAAGTACGTACTTAACCTTGCAACTCTTGTCGGTGTACTCAAAGTATATAGCAACCGTACCTAAAGATGTGACATTTAAGTTTTATTTATTTAGGAAATGAAACTATTTTTCCGGATTTAAATCGCGTATATTGTTTTTTCAAACAAACCGTCGTTTCGGGGCCTTTACAGGTCCCATGGTCACGGTTGACTGAGGTGGTGGGTACAGTCTTCAACCAGTTATGTCTAATATTGACGCAAACCACCCTATTTTTTCACTATAGTTACAATAGTATATAATTAAATACCTTATTTTTAGTTTTACAAAGAAAACATTCCAATTTACGCTACATTAAGTTTTACAAATTATTTTATTGAATGAATTTTTATTAAATTCAATTTATTATTAATTAATAATAGAAATTAGAATAAACTAAAACATATTAATTAGTACTGCAGTCTTATGTCTGTTTGGGATTTTTCATCAGAGGAAATACTGGATCCCAAACTGGTGGTACGGAGAAACCATCGTCTCTGTTGAAATTAGGATGTTTTTTAATTTCAATGGCCTCTCGCAGCATCCTGGGTAGATAACGGACTTCTTTTGCAAGGACCTGGGGTTTGTCAAACTTCATTGAATGTGTAGGTTTATCCATGACTTGCTCGCAGACTGCAGACTTGTTTACGCGACGGTGTTTTTTTATTTATTAAGGATTGCGAACAAAGTTAACAACTTAAAGTACACAATACAATAAATAATTATTAATTAACACGCAGTTGCAACTTCAATTACAGGCAACCACTGCATTATTAAAATTTACAAAAGCAACCTCTACCAATTGAATGAAATTAAAATTAACAATAATAATTATAATTTAAGTCCAATAAATGAATTAATTAAACTTAAGCTAAAACTACAACACTATTCTTTCCTTAAATTTATATAATGTACTCGTATCACCAATTAACATAACAAAGTTTCGTCTTCACCGGACACTTGATTATATAAACTAGACAGGCGGGGGACTGGTGAATGTTTTCCTACATTCGTTCTACAGAAACGAACATGAAATAAGGGTCGCGGTTGGCGAAGCGAACGTGGGGGTACTAACAAACTAAATTTATTAAGATGTTACAACCGCTCTAATTTAAGAACTGCATAAAAAAAAAGAAAACGACAAAGAAGACGCCTCTTACGCCTTTAACATCGGCAGTGATATTAAAATTAGTCAGTTATTTTTTTGTGAAATTACTCCGCTAGTTTGTTGTATTATTATTTTTTATTTAGACATTTATTTCAAGCCACATGACCCATATAATATATACCTTAAGGACTAACATACATACATTATATTATGACAATAAAATAAACTAAGCAACTAATCTACACGTATTGCATTTGTCGGTGACGTGTGGCGCAATCTGGTGTCAGGTAACCGATTATTGACACAAAGATTGAACACTTCTTCCTGTCCTTATCCCACGCTAGATGGGGTGGGCACAACATGCATTCTTCCATTCTCCTCTATCAGCTGTCAGTTTTATACTCACACCCTTCTTGTCCATGTGATCTTTCAGACAATCCATCCATCTTTTCTTTGACCTTCCTTTCCCCTTATATCCCTCCACATTCATAGCTAACAATCTTCTCGTCACATGCCATTCTTCTCTCAGCATCACATGTCCATACCACGTTAACGTATTACTCCTCGTCTTTTCCGTCACTGCAGCCACTTTCAAACTTCCCATGATGTACAGGGTCAAGAGCACGTCAAGTTTGACACTTAAGACTTAAATCCAAATAACAAAGAACGGTACCAAATACAAAGTTTGACGTGCTCTTGACTGTACTCATTCCTTATCTTATCCTGTCTCGTCACTCCACACATCCTGTCTCAACATTCGCATTTCCGCTACATGCACAGTTCGTTCATCCTCTCTTTTCATCGCCCAACATTCTGATTCATATAGTACAGATACAAAGATTAAACACTAATAAAAATTTCTTCGATCCGGCTGGATCCGAACCAGCGCCTTCAGCATGCCGTGTCTGACGCTCTCCCCACTGAGCTAAACTGAAACGAACCTGTCAAATAATTTATTTCTCTCGTGAGTTTGGGTATAATTTGTAGTTGTCTATGTGTGTGCCATGCACCCGCGACACAGTGCGGGGCTAGGAGTATGTGCGTTAAAAATTCACGTAGTTCATTCATGCATCTACTTCTAAGGGTGGTAGATTAGGGGATGAAACCGGTTTATTGAATTTCACCAACTCTCAATAAAACTAGGCAAATAAATGTATCGAACACTGCGAAAGCGGGTAAGTAACTTTTTGAGGCCAATTTTTTTTAAAAGATATAATTATTATGTTCAATACATATCTTTATACATAACTGCCTAACAATGTATTCTTACAAAAGCTTTTACTGACCTTTTCAAGGCGAGAGTGAATAGGCATTATTTAGGTGTGCATGCTCCATCGTCGACCTCATCGTCACTTTCCATCAGGTGAGATGGAGGTCAAATGCGCACCTATATTTTATAAAAAAAAAAAAAAAAAAAAAAAACTGATAATTAGTAGTAATGCAGGTAAGGTAGGCGCAAACGGCACGCAAAGACATCGTTTAAGAGGGAGCAGAGGAAAAATTCCTAATCTTCGATTTGATTTTAGAGGGGTATATCCACTTTAAAGTTAAAAATAAAATATTGTATGAGTAACTACACGATATATTCAAGCATAGACATTAATCAGAATCATACTCGTAAAACAATAAAGTTTCCTCGATAGATAAAAATCACGAAATGACCTCTAATTTTCACATTTTTTCGATTTATCCTCGAAATGCTACAGGTTATTAGGACAAAAATTAAATAATTAATTATATTTATGCACGATCGACAACTGTCACTACGGATTACGGATTTAATCCGTTTAGTTTTAGAGTTATTCCGCTAAAACGAATTTGGTAGTTTTAATGCGCAAAATTCAACATCTGTCGCATGTCACGCGAACTTCAGGCATATATTTGTTTCACAAATTTGGGCGGAGCCAACGTCAAAACTTTTTTGGCATGCTCCCTCTTAATGGATTATGTTTATAGGAGGAAAACGCTGTTTTGTAAGCAAGTTTTAGTTTCTTTTTTTTAAATAAGGAAACCTTTAGGACAACCTTTTTCGAGATTGCTCGTAATTTGTTAAGTTTTTATGGTCGGACTACATTCTCAGACAAATTTGTAATTAACTTCCATTGACTTACAAATAAATGGACGACGGGTCTAATACAAAAACCACGAAAAAAGTGTCCCAAGTCAACCTATTTAAACGTAGTGACATGTAAAGGAATATGAAAAAGCTAAAACGTTGAATTTAAATTGTAATGTCATCGCAGTACTGTTTAATTTTGCTTGCTTCGCTGTCAGTCGAACAAACGAAGACTAAAGCGTAAATGACGCTCTGTATACGATTTTAACGCCCTATAAGTTCGGACACTTTTTAGCGCGGACCCGACGTCCATATAATTGTAAGTCAATGTTAACTTCGCTAAATAGATCATCGGGGGCCTAAACGTGCGCTAGGATCCACCTAGACACGGAGAAAAGCGTTACATTTCTATCACACTGACTATCGTTCCAGTTACAAAATAATCACAGTGACATATCACCGTGCTTTTGTGATACCTGTCACTTACATCACGATATATTTTGTTATGCGAGGCTACAAAGTTGTTGTTTGACGCGAGTACTTGTATTGAAACTTGAGCAAACGAAGGAAGCTAAGATGGAATAATAATAACGTACACACTCAACATAGCCCCGCATTAGGAAAACCCTGTGTCACAAATTACACCCAAACTCAGTAGAGAAATAAATGTCGACCATACAAATATTTTTCCCAGCCCGGGAATCGGACCTGGGACCTCTGCGTGGCAGTCCGGCATGGTAACCGTTTGGTCACAGAGGCAGAATAGATTCCTGAGCATAGCGAGTGTTTCAAGACACGAGACGCAAAACAACTTTGCTGCCGAGCGAAACACGCAACTTTTCACACAAAATAGTAGATGAAAGAAAAATTCTTAGATCAAAGATTTTTTAGTTTAAGTTTTTAACGACTTTTTTGCCGCAGCGTCTGTCTGTGATAAATCTGAAAGTTTATGAAAGTTTTTCTCTACTCGGCCTTTACTTACTTTTTCCTAATGTTCGATCTTTGTATTACGTTTGTATTATAGTACATTTCACATAGGATACTGTGACATTTGACATTTTTACGTCGCATGCGTACTGTTTCTAAATCTCTCAACCAGATTACGAAAAGAAATAGTATATTTGTTATACCAAAAACAAACAATATTAATAGCAGTTGTCATTTTAACTACGTCTCATTACAGTACTAAAAAACCGACCTCGAAAAGTTCTTGGAATTACATTTATTTGCCAAGTTTTATTGAAATCGGTTAGCGGAAAATGCGAACACGATTCATCCCCTAGTTTGTCACCCTTACAGGTGGAATATTTTCTTCAAATTTAAATGGGACCAGTACTGAGGTACCCTCTTTCCAACAAAAAAGAATTATCAAAATCGGTTCACAAATTTGAGTTATCACGTAACATACATACAAAAGAAAACATACAATCGAATTGAAAACCTCCTCCTTTTTTGAAGTCGGTTAAAAATTACAGTATATTAAGTAGGTAGAGAGTACTTGATGTGTAAAACGGAATATTTATATGGATAAATAGAGATTTACACCATTCGATAAATCGAATCGGTTACTGTGTACCTCGCGGCAATTACGTGTGCAAATTGTACTACAATGACCTTGTATGTGGGTCGTTTTCTTTTGTTTTGAGTTTTGCATGATCTTCTTGGAGTTATTGTTAATTTCGTTCCATTACTGTGATTTTATGTTTTGTTGTCTTTTTGTTTGGTAATTGTTGATTTTTTTATTTGTTGTGTACTTAATAACACAATAATTGAATCCATTTTGTTATGTTTATTATTTGTTCTCTTCGTTTTAAATTACCTCAATAAGATATTTAAATCCTTTTCACTATATCTCTAGAAACTTCAAATCTCTAACGTCCCTGTGCCCATGCTTTGTGAACTGAACTATAATAATATTATTCTTTTGGAATCAATTTTTGCAAAAATCTCTTTAATATTCCCTCTGAGTCACCGAATAAAATTGTCTGTGTATTGTCTAACACATCCACCATAACGTTTATAAAACTAAAAAACCCACACTGGCAGCATTGAGACCAATTAGTCTTACAAGCCATTCATTAAGAAAAAATTTTTTTTTTTATTTACAGACGTGGAAGCGAACGAAGAAGACCCGGACATAGCTTCATCGCTACTCCCTCCTCACTACGTTAAGTTGAAGGTGAACAAGCCGTGCGGGTCACTGTACGGCAAACGCATCGACGTCGAAGAGAGTTCATTGACGCAATGCGAATGCAATCCTGACGAAGAGGAGCCTTGTGGACCGTACTCCCATTGCTTGAACAGGTACCTACTGTATTGATTCAACCCAGTTACGTCCCACTGCCCCCATAATTGACAATAGAATTGAGTTTTGAAAGGCTCGCCCAGGAAGTTGTCGTCTGCATGACATACATGATGAGTTATTTAGTATCAAGTTTTTTTTAGTTTTATGGCCTTGAGTGTGTGCTATTTAGAGTTTTACTATATTTTTACTCATTATTCCAAGTTATTCTAATAATAATAACGCACACTCAATATAGTCCTGCACTAGGGAAACCCTGTGTCGCGGGTGCCACGGTATGTATATATATACATAGGCAACCACAAATTACACCCAAAGTCACGAGAGAAATAAATGTATTTAGCATCATAATCATCCACAGCCCCATTTCACCCTTTGCTGGCTATAGGCCTCCCGTAGTTTGTGCCATCCACAACGATTCTGTGCTAATCTCACCCATCTACTGCCCGCAACTTTGACAATGTCGTCCACCCATCTCTTTGGACATAGTTCTAAATGCAGTGTATATATGTGTGAATTTACAAAAAATTACGACATCGTATTCACTTGAATCGATCTTCATAAAAATCGAATCGCTATGTGCATCCCTACAATGAACAGGCGTGTAGAACCAAGTGCACTACTTCGTCCCGTCATTTAGAGCGCGTTCTCATTATGTCGTACCGTTTTTTTTATTGTTAGACGACGTTAGATTGCACGACCTCTGTCGTGCAATCTAACGTCGTCTAACAATAAAAAAAACGACTCTTCGTTTGAAGCTGCGATTATCCGTCGTCATAATTTTAACGTAACGTTTCATTTATCGTCAGACGACTGTCGTTCTAGCTCTTCCGTCACGACAGTCTGTCGTCGTAACGTCAAAAGTCGTGAACGACAGTTGTGACAACGACAATCGTGGTGTTCTATGTGTGAACAACTTCATTTAAATATTCAAGCTACGACATTTTAAACTGCACGACTATCTGTCGTCACGACATAATGGGAACGCGTCCTTAGTATCATCCAATGTCGTGTCCCAGGATGCTGCTGACGGAGTGCGGCCCGCTGTGCCGCGCGGGCGAACGGTGCTGCAACCGCGCCTTCGAGAAGCGCGTCTACCCCAAACTCACACCGTACCGCACGCCGCACCGCGGCTGGGGACTCAAGACGCTCGAAGATATCAAAGCGGGTCAGTATTCCTACACCAGCCCCCGTAGCATGGCTACGCACGATAGTCGCGACGCGCGCGATGAAATTGAAATAAGCGCGCGCTATTGGGTATTTAAATTAGATCTGATTGAGACAGCCAATACCGCGCGCTTATTTCAATTTTTTCGCGCCTGTCGCGACTATCTTGCTTAGCCATGCTACGGGGGCTGTGGCACTTAACTTGCCCTTTAGTTTTTAACCGACTTAAATATACTTACGCCTCTTTACATTATTCGTTACCAGGTCAATTCGTGATCGAGTACGTAGGCGAGTTGATTGACGAAGAGGAGTTCAAGCGGCGCATGCGCAGGAAGCACGAGTTTCGCGACGAGAACTTCTACTTCCTTACGTTAGATAAGGAAAGGATGATTGACGCCGGGCCTAAGGGCAATCTAGCTAGGTAAACCTGAGTACGAATATCAAAGCGATGTTTTAGAGAAAAAAAATGGGAGTATAAGCATAGTATAATTAGACCAAGTAGTCCAACTCCCACCTGTTCACACGGTTTTCATATTATTAAATAATTATTAATTATAACCTTACTTATTTCTGCCGCCAAGCAGTAATGTCAGCATTACTGTTTTCCGGTGTTGAAGGGTAAGAGTGCTGATGAAATTACAGGCACATGGGACTTGTCAACTTATGTCTCACGGTGACAGTCGCAGTGGCAGTGCCCCTCAGATCTTTGCGATTTGAAGCTCTGAGTAACGCTGTTTACCATCAGGCGCACGTCTTGTTCGTCCCGTCACTTGATATTATAAAAAAAGTTGTGACTACAAGTTGTAAACATAATTAGAAAAAAAGAATGGTTATTAGAGTATTTTCGTACTATATTAAAATAACCTATGTCAAATGCAGTATTTACGTATTGATATTTTTATACTAAAGTCTGTCTTTTGTGAAGACGGAGTAAAATGACATTTGCAGGGTTGCCAATTTTTATAAAAATTTTTTTTGGCAACACTTTCGTGCTATGATCAGTTGTTTTTCTCCATGTTCAAAAAAGACAGACTATGGCGTCGCGCATTGGTGTCTCGATATGATTATGAAATAGAAATTAACAATTCTTAATTTGAGTCATTCTTGTTTAAACAGTCATAAACACGTCTACTATTAGATGTCATTTTTGAAACACCGAGCGAACACTTCAATTCTATAATGAATGTGTGCGTCCGTATTCGCTAAGATGTTCTTTTGTTAATGTTATTATATTTCATTTATCTATTTAAGACAACATAAAGAGAACAGGAATTAAAATATATAAAAATAATTGATACCAATTTTCTATTATAATATAAACTGAAATACATTTTTGGTATGTACTTAGGTTCTGACTCAAACTTACCAAAGTGTACTTTAGCGTTGTCAACTTTTAAACATTCTTTATCACGCAGATACTTTTTTTATATTTTAATGCGCTTCTCGTATCTGGGGATCTGCTCCCGTTCTACGTTCGATACATCCGTCCGAAACAGTTACTGTCAAAGAAGTAATATTCGACCAAATTAAAACACGCACGATGCGAATGAAGCTTCATATTAGACATTGTCTTTAGATTTGGTCGTTTATTACTTATTTGTCAGTAATTGTTTCGGAAAGAGAACGCCAGTAGACCCCCTGCACCAGATTGCAAGTAAATGGGTGTGTAGTGAACGTTAAGAGGTTTCGTGAAATAGTGGACGAACGTCTGTCTTCTGTCGTCTGAATAATTCTGTCGCCGTTAGTTGAATGAGCGCTAGTGACGAATACTCAGAACCGAGAAAATATTTTTTTGAAGAAACGCAATTAAAAATTTCTCTTGCGGTAACTACCGGTACAGCGGTAATACCTTCCACCAAGGGAAAAATAAAATTAGTGATAGATCGGCCATTTTTACTGATTACGGCAGTATAAGTAACAATTTTTTTGAAAAAATGTCACAGGCTCCCTTTCAACTAACAGCGGCAGTATTATTAAATATTACGCGTGAAATTCGCAGCGCTTTTTTACGCACACGCACTAGGGAATCCCTGTATCGCGGGTGCTATGGACACACACATAGACAACCACAAATTACACCCAAACTCATGAGAGAAATAAATATTGGCCATACAAATATTTCTCTCGGGAATCAAACCCGGGCCCTCTGCGTGGCAGTTCAGCATGTTAACGTTCGTCTACGGAAGCAGTTTCGTAAATTGTAATGCTGTGTAATTGTACGAAATAAATAAAAATTATGTTGTGGTTTTTAGGTTCATGAACCATTGCTGTGAGCCGAATTGCGAGACGCAAAAATGGACTGTTCTTGGTGACGTCAGAGTGGGGCTCTTCGCGCTTAAAGACATACCCGCGGTAAGAAAATTTACTTTGACCGACGGTTTTGAGTAATTAAATGATGGGCTCGGTCCACATCATTTATTGTAAAATAGGAACAGGTAAAGAACATGAATAGGAAGATAGGTAAAGGTAAAGGCCCAAAAGGGCCTGTATTTGTACAAATATCATGCTTTACAAGCAGTTACATGATTTTCAATGGTATAACAGTACCCCGATTCAGAACTCTTCGATATTTTAACCGAATCTTTCGATTGGATATCTTTCTTGAATCGAAGGGCGCTTTCCGAGCTATTCAGAAAATTCCAAGTTAAACGTTGGATTTAGATTCGGATACGATATCGTTATCCAGCAGCGTTTACGGAGTTATTCGGTGATGTAGATTATAAGAAAAATGCAAACCCTTAAAGGCCTAAAATATAGGAATGCATTAGTCTTGCATTAAATTAAATTAATAAATTTGAACAAAATCCAGACTTTATTTCAAATAATAAGAGACTTCCATATTACATTCTTGCTTCGTAAACAATAGGACGTTCGGTAACTTTCATTCGATAACTGTGTTCTGTATAACGTTTGTAGCCTTTGGCGGTCGAGAAGTTCGAGTAATCGTAAGGGTGTGACGTCATTTCGGTTCGATTTCGATTGCGACAGTTTGACCTTCGATTCGAGTGTTGTGAATAAAAATGAAAAGAGTTCGGTCGACAACTGAGTTATTGTAAGGTTCTGAATCGACCTCCTGGTCAGAATATGATATGAAGTCGAGCACGTCTGCTCGCTTCGAAAGTTTACTTCTTCTGATAGTCAATCATCTCTTGGTTCAAACAACGCAATGATGAAATAGTGTAAGAACTTAAAAACAGCGTATTTTATTACCTAGTTAATAATTAGGTATATTCACAACGCAATATTTATCGGTAATACAAATTGAAAATTCGAGAACCCTTGTCTAGCTCACGACGTTATGGCGTCTTATTATATTGTTATAATAAATCAGTATTATATATTACTCTGCACTAGATTAAATGACACAATAATTAAAGGAGTCTCAGACATAAACTTTTTAATTAGTTTCATTTTTCAAAAAACGAAAGAATTTCCTCTCTTTATCCCGTTTAGATGATTATAAACAGCACAATTCACGACCTTTATGAATAGTAACGTAAAGTGATGTTATATATTAACGTACAAATTACTTAATGAGTAAATGAAAACTATATTCAAATATCAAAGCCGACTTAGCGCGAAAACGGTTCGCCGACAGCCTTGTTGCCGTTCAGTCACTGTGACCATCAATGTACGGGGCGTGGTGCGGTATCTAAAGCTAGTGAGGGGCGGAGGCTGTCCGTTCACGTTACTCATTTGTTCTCTGCTTTCGATCAATGTAGTAAAATTACTGGTTTTTTTCCACATTTGGCGGGTTCGTTTCACGGTTCAGACAGGCGGTTATTTAAAAATTTTGAATGCATTTCGAAGTGTTTACCTTTTTTTGTTTTAAATATCGTATTTAAGAAAATACGGTATTTAAGGTCCTTTCCCTCCGTGTGGCATAGCCGTGAGACGCTCTGTATACGATCTTTTCTAAGTTGGTTCTGGCCTAGGTGTTCTGTGTAGTTTTTAATTTTGTTGCGCTTTTACTCACACTACGGGTAATTTTCTTAGTTGGAGACTAGGTTATTGTTGTGTGTAAATTACGTTATTTCGTAACTAACGTTTTTTTTATTAAAACCATACTGGTTGTGTACTACATCCTAAATTCTCTTCTTAGAGACCTGTGCTCAGTAGTGCGAGGCAATTAAGTGGATGATGACGGTAGCAAATTTTAAAAGCGATTTACAAACAGCAGCCCGTAGAGATTATTTTTTGAAAACATCGCGGTGAAACCTGGAAGTCCAAGTTATGAATTCCCCAACCCGCGATTGGGCCAGTGAAGCGGACCTATGGCCTGAACCCACTTCTTAGAGATCCGCGCCAGTAGCGGTACGTTAAATGGTTTAACGGTGAAAATAATGTCATACAATGTTATTAAATTGCAGAATAGCGAAGTGACGTTCAATTATAACCTGGAGTGCGCCGGCATCGAGAAGAAACGTTGCCTCTGCGGCGCCAAGAGATGCTCTGGTTACATTGGGGCTAAACCCAAACAGGTAATGTATGAATGAAATTAATGAAATATTTTTTATTTCACTTTAAAATTATGACAATGACAACGCAGTAATGTAAGTATCACAAAACCAATGTACAACAGGCGGCCGTATTGCTACTACTAATTTCTTCCAGGCAACTTTAGGATAGAAATTTAAGACTTGGAAAGGGGGGTGCAACCAAAGAATATCTTGTAATGAAAGCTTTTTAAATAAATACACTACTCATCTATAAAGTAAATATAATAATAAGGTTACTTATATACTTTTGTAGGACAATAAAATAAAGTATAAATAGTATAGATTCAGGGAGAGAATTCCATAGCCGGATAGCAGATACAGTAAACGAGCTGGAGTAGAAATCGGAGACATGAGATGATTAGTATGATATGATAGTAATATACTACTAAATAATTCTAAATGTAAAACAAGTTTAATTGAAATGGCTTGTAACTTGAGCACGTTCAGGGAGGTTCTGCCACCGTACTCGTGTAGGTCCGCCAAGCAGTAACCCGTGTTGGTGAAGTTACAGGCACATAAGACTTGTCAACTTTGTGTCTCGGAGTGACAGACGTAGTAGCAGTGCCTCTCAGATCTGTTATTCAAAGCTCTGAGTAACACAACACAACACAACTGTTATGGCCAGGCGTGTCGCTTACCACCAAGCGCACAACTTTTTTGTCCAGCCACTTTATACCAGAAAAAACTCTGCTCTTTACAGTCGTTTTTACATAGTCACAAATTAATTTTATCTACACGCGTATCATAAACACAACTATGATGTGTTCAAAAACCGCAAATCACGA